AGGTAGTAGGGATGGTAGAGGGTACATCAAAACCTGTTTCATTTGGTATAGAGTGTTTTTTCTGTTAGACTGTCTGTGAGGTTTTTGAACCTGATGATACCTTTGGCTTCCATAACTCTTGTGGCAATAAGTTCTTGGAGTGTAAAGTACCTTTTTTATTTGTTTTAAATTGATTACCAACTAGTTTCATTACATGCCCCCAGTCTGCCATGGAAAGCTGCTGAAGAGCTGTTTTCCATTCGCTTTATCCACCACCTTCCTTATTTTTGTAAATATTGATACTTCTTCTCTACAAACTGTGCTCATTTTGCTCACCAAATGATGGGATCACAGACTTTTCAGTGTCTCTTGGTAAAGCATTTGTTCCATCCCATCATTGTTGTCACTGCGGCTCATGCTGCAAATTGTGAGACTGGCTTAGAGGGTCTGGCTGGAAACCCGTCAGATTCTTTGCATAAAAATGAGGCATTTCATAGATAACTCATGTTTTAGATGCAGATCTTTCCTGTCCTGGGCTTTGCAGGAAGAAGAAGCCCATTTTCATTCCAATTTTCTTTTTTTCAATTTTTTCTTATGCGTTCCAACTCATTTTAGAAAAGGAATTTTTTTGTCTGGAGAAACGGCATCTCGCAGCGCAAGCCACAGAGCTATGGTGACACTCAGTGGTCCTGGAGGAAAAGTGCACTTCATGAGTTCACGGGGTTTTTTCCAATTTATCAGGAAGACAGTGGTAGCAAATGAACTTTCTACACAGGTGAGTGCACAGCACTTAGCATAAGGATGAGCCTCCATACTATGCCGTACTGATTCATATAGTACAGGCATAAAAATTAATATCTAGCCTGTGCTAAGTGCACTTGTCCTCTTTCCCTTTTTCACACTCATTTACTCACTTCAGTCTGGAAGTGAGACCACCACTGTAAGGTACCTCAAAAGGAAAACTCTTTTGTGGTGAACTGTTCATTCTACAAACTACCTTATTCATGCAAGGATTTTAAGTATGCTATTTATTTTTTATAACAGTGCCCTAAAAAAGTCAGAATCCCTTTGGGACCATCTTGTGTGCTTACAGTCCTCCTCTTTTTAAGGTGCCCACTTCCCCCTACTTTTAAGAGCTTCTCTTTGCAGAAAATTCCTCTGCTGTCTGAGATGCTAGTTACTAGGTTCCCTGTTAGCTGCCTCCCATCCTATGCTCTTCTAGACCTTGTTTTTTCACAAGCTAAAGCTGCAAACTTTGCAGGAAACTTCCAAGTTGCCTCCAGACCATCTGAGCAACCAAGACCCACGCAGTAGCCGCGGTGAGGTGGTGGGAGGAAGTTTCCTGGCCGTTTGCCCCACTTTTGCTTACACATAGCAAAGGTTCCTTTCTTGCACTGGAAGATAAATCCTGTGGATGTCACTAAGGACAGGGAAAACCTTTCAACAGTCAGAAGAACTGAGCAAGCATCAGACTGCCCACTCAGAACAGATTAGCTCCCTAATATTTGCTCCAAGAGGCAGAGACCTCACCGACTTTTACACTCTTATCTTAAGGAAGCTTGCCACACAGAAGCTCTTTTTCAGCTCTCTGCTTTGTCAGCTTCCACAGACCCTCTCAACTGCAGCTGAACAACCTCAATCTGATTTGAAACCACAGACTGGAAATAATCTGTTTGTATTCTTATTTCACATGCTTGGTTTTCTTGCTTACCTAGTCCGCACAGGTACAAGGTGACAAGACTTCATATCATCAGAAGCAGAGTAATCTTGGTGGGTCTTTATCTAGTTAGATCTAATTTCATAGCCAGCTGATCATATAACCTGAAAAATAGACCCTTGACAGCTGTTTATTTAGAGGCAGGAGAGCCTGGCTCATGGCTGCAATGACCACACTGGGTTACAGGCTTCAGGTTTTATTTATAGCCTTGCCATCTGAAGTTTAACCAGATCAGAGGACCTTGATCCTTGTTATAAGTTAGTTATCCAGAGGAAGAAACTTGCCAGCAAGGCAGCTGAAAGACTGCAGGTCCCACTTTGCTCCCTTGGCAGAGCACCATCAAACAATCTCTATTTAATCCTACAATGTCTTGAGAAGGGGCAATGCTAGGGGAAAAACCCTTGGAGGCCTGTTCAGTTCTGTCAAATTTTTGCTTACTTGAGGTGAGCCCTGTCCTCTTGTTGTATCAGTTGTCCACAGAAGGAATCACTTAGTTCCTCAGGTTTTCTACCTGAGGAACTGCTTAAGCACTGCTGTGAGACTTTTATTTTCCTTTTTTCCTGTCCCTACTGGACAGCTTCAACTGCCCTTTTGCAAGCTGTGTTGATCAGGCAAAGGGCTGCCAGACAGGGATTCCACAAACAACTCTGGTCACATGACCTGCTTCACTTTATGTTCCTTTTTCTCCCCTCCTTTTTTTTTTTTTTTTTTTTTTGTTCTCTCCTAGGTATTTCCTCTTCAGAAGCATCATCACTTCCCAAATCCATAGCTCACCTTGTTCACTTCTTCTCCATTGGCCCTGGGCTTGTTGACTTCATAGCTTTACTTCATATTTATGGCACAACTGTCCTGGTAACTTCTTTTTTGGTAATCAGCTCTGTGAAACTAGCACCAATTTTTTCTTATCTAGCAGCCCATCTTTTATGTGCTACCTTGCTAATGTCAATGCATATCCTGATGAGCCATCTGCATACCCTATTCTCCTATTGTATGTGTTGCATCCTGAAATTCCTCAGATAGTTGTCTTTAAGTAGTGCCACAGGTAAGGATTAGTCATTTGGGTTAATGTCTTGACGTGATGGGACTGGGTGTTGCCAGAGTCTAAACATACAGTGAACTTGGAGTAGGTGTTATTTTGGTCTCGTGGCCTTCCTTGCCAAGGCATTGTTGCACAGTCCTTTTCTGTCTGAATGAATTGGTGAACTATTTCTTCCTTAGCCTTCCCTTGCCTGTTCCTAATCCTCAGTTACTACACAAAGATATTCACAGGGCCATGTAGTAAAACAGATCAGGCTTAAAAAGGTTGGGGTTTTTGTTTTGTTTTGTTTTCTCTTGCTTGGAGTTTGGTTGTGGACTGTCCTGTTAACTAAATTGAAAATGTAGCTCAGAGATGGGACTTGGGAAAGAGAGAGAGTTAAACGGCTAAGGCAATGGAAAGCAAAGTACGTAACCATGATGGGCACAATGTTTCTCTTTTTCAGGCATTGAAATTTTCATCAACTGTCAAGTCACTGCCTTTTTTCCAGGTTGCACATACTTTATTTCAGTTGAGCCCCATACTACTGTGTGTCAAGTCAGGTATCACAGAGACGTTTAGGGCATAGATGAAAGGAAATAGGGTGTTTCCAATACAGCAGGGAAGAGCAATGAAGTTTTCCTTACAGAAGCAGAAAACTCAGGTTGCAGAGGTAGGGGATACTACTGAGAAACCTTCTTCGAGACATCTGTGAAAATAAAGAGGAAAGAAAAAGCAAAGTGCCTGATGAATTTTAAGGAAGCTATCTAAGGACTATAAGATCTTACAGAATGAGTTTCAACATCTTTTTTATCATTGACATAGGTATTTCCAGTTGCATTCACACTTGGGATGCTGTAAGGACTACACATGTGAGGAGTGTATGGAAGTGAAATAAAAATAGATCCTTTTAACTTCCATGGTATGCTTAACCTTAGTCTACACTGAGATTAATACCTGGGCTAGAAACTGTGCCCACAACTAGTAAGTACATCCCAATTCAACGTCTAGTCCAAGAAGGCCCTATATCACATGATGGGATTAAATACAGAGCAGAGGTGGGATGCTTTGTTTGCTTACCACCAGTCCTCTGCTCTTCCAGCTGTTCCCACCTTGGAACCCTGTTAACACTAACCTGAACTGCAAGGGAAAACATATTCTCTTGCTGTGCGTTCATCTGTAGAAACAAAAGACAAAGGGTGATGAGCTGCAGAACTGCATGGTAGGGTAATGCCAAGCTTCTTTCTCTGTAACACAACCATCCCACCATGTTAATGTTTCACTCTTTAGATTGTAAATGCAGGAACAAAAAAGTATCTCCAGTGGGTCAGACCAATGGTCTGTCTCCCTGAAATGTGTCCCATACAACTGTAAAAGATCATCTTATGCATTGTGGTACCTTGTAATGCAAGGATATTTTTTGTAAATAGAGAAACTTTCAGTAGTATGTCCTGATAGCCTTGCCTATTTACTGACAATTAGTATTTTCATGTCAGGTAACACTTTTTAAATTTTATGTACTAAGCACAAAAATTCTTGCACAGGATGAAATAGCAAAGAGAGACCATATTAGGTGACAGTATTTAGCTCTGTAATGGCTGGATTGAGAAGTGTCCTCCTCTTCTTGCCATGGTGTGGGAGGGGGAAAAAGAATGGAATTTAGTATAAAACATGTAGGCCTGTGGTGCTGCTTTCTAAATCATCAGTGTCAGTTTTTCCATTTTGTTCTCAAATTCTTTTTAAAAAATAATTCTTAATGTTCCATCTGCTGTTTTGTCTCATACCTAGCACAGAAAAGAAACTCAAAATGACAAAAAGATCTCTCTTCTGTGTGCTGATAGTTCATTTAGAGCTTTAAAGGTAAGAAATTATTTTCCTATTACCCCCTGAGACATGGAAGAACCTAATGGATGGTAGGATTGTTACACTATATATGAAAAGCATACAACTAAATTCTGGCTTCTAATGGATCAGGGGGGGCACTACATAATACAGATTTGAAATAAATGCAGAAGCATTCTTAAGAGAGCTAAAGAGCTGGAAAAGCCATGTCAAGTTGACAGAGAAGTCTTTTTTCCACAGAGATGTCACTTGAAGCTAGAGGAAGTAAACAGTGTGTCATTTTGAACACATAACACCCTACAACATAATCATAGTGCCAGGCAGTCTCATCTACAGAACTTTTTTAAACAAATGGTTTTGCTACTTGAATGTTAACGTCTTGCACAGAGGAAACCCAAGCTTGAAATTACAGGAGGAAGTGCACTGGAGTTAAGGGAGTTAAGGGAATAAGAGTCACAGACAGAATTATGTCTGACTCTTTGCTAGTGTCAGTGAAATCTCACCTGGCTTATAGTAGTCATAGACATGCACTGTTGCTGCTTTCAGATTCTGCACTTCAACATCTTGTTCCACTGAGATGTTAAGCTTCAGAGAAGTCTCACCCAGCTGGAAAAAAGTAAGCAGAAAAGCACTGGTCATCTCAAAGTCACCTATATACCAGCTTTACTCCTTCTGCATCAGAGTTTTCTTTCTCTGTCTTTCAAGTTTTTTCCACCCTTTTCCTCCTGGTCAAAATTTTAGCCCACTTGACCAGGCTAGAAATTTTTATTTCTGATCTGTGAAAGTCCCGATGCAAAGTACTTCAATTGCTACTTCTTGAATGGGCAGTTCCCTGTGTTCTTCCTCTTACCTCTTCCAAGTAGATTGTGACTTGGTCTGGTTTTATCTCTGTCTTTTTCACTAGGGGTATCTTCTCCAGCTGTATAGGAAGGCAAGAGATGAGCTTGGTTAACATCAGCGTATTGGCCTTCTCTGTCTCAGACCAAACTTGGTATTTGTCAGTGAACCACTGTTGACTAAAGCACTAAGCCTAGTCAGGGGACCAGTCAGGCCTGTGTTCCTCAGCTGTAATGGCATTGAGATTGTTGGGAGCACAACAGGCCTTAGAAAATATTTTTTCAGATTTGGATCAAGTGTCCTTGAGCCATGTTCCTACTTTCAGTACTTGTAGCAAAGGGAAAGATTGTTAGTAGGAGTTTATGATGGATCCTCCTAGCTAACGCCTGGAACAATGGAGCATGCCATTGGACAACCCTTAGAGATTCAACACCACGTTATGGAATATCCCTTAAAAAGGCACTGGCAACTGCAAAGGGTCTCAGTGCATACCAGGTGATTCTAACTAGGTGCTTTTCAGCTCCTCTCTAACTTCTTTCTGCATGTGCAGTCCTTACTACTCAACATGAGAAACTGCACAATCAGTAGTGCAAGTGGAAAGTTGCCTTGTGAAATAGCCCTCTATATTTGCACTTGCTTAGTTTACTTAATTTTTAGTAAGATAAGTAGTTACCATTCTTCAGCAATTCTTACATGTTTGGATATTTCTGGCTGAGCTACATCTGGAAAACAGATTTTGCTATCTTCAAGGAAGGCCAGAGGAAAAGTCTTACCTCTTTCACAGAGCTCTGCACAGGAATGAACCCTGACAGCATCTCCACTTCCACTAGGGCCATGTTACTGGTCCCACGGTCCCCTACATAACTGAAAAGAGTCAGGAGAGAAGCATATTAGAAGTGGAAAGCATCACAGCATTTCTAGGAAATACTAATGGACACTTCCAAACTTTGCCCTGCTCTACAGTGATATGAGAGCTCAGTAGCATGTATACCTGATGGGAGAAAGGGACAAAAAAATCACCCCCATATAGTCACTCAGTATGGAGACAGAATGTGCAGCAAATGTATTATGGTTAATGTTTTAATGCTTCGTGTTGCCCTTTCCAACAGATGGAAGTGACCTTTGCTGTTATAGGTTGAGAGTGGCAATGTTCTCTCTCAGTAAGGACAGTAAGGCATGAAGAATATGGATCAAGACTCTCATCCAAGACAGATACATGCAAGTGAAATATGGATAGAGTCTGGAGTTTCCTATGTCCAGTTCCAGCAGAGGTTCCCACTACAGGCTAATGCATCTCAGGGCTGCTTCAGCCCAGGCTGTTAAGTGTCCCACAAGGTGGGAGTTCTGGCTCTTGGGAAAGCTGCCATCTCATCTCCTGGTGCTCTGGGGGCTGCTGAGCTAGTTGCTGTGGTTCTGCAAGACACGGCCAGGGCATTACCATGCTCCTCCAGGCCTTAATTCTCTGTTAACAATCTCTTTGGGATCTATGGAGAAGAAGAGATCATCCCTGTGTCTTTGTTTCCAGAGACAGGGTTCTGGTCATACAACTGAGTTCCCAATTCTTTACACTGAAGATGGAGCCTCAAGGGATCTCATACCTGACAGACAGATGGATGTCAAGCTCTTTCCTGACTCCATCACATTCTCTTGGTACTGTTTCCACATCCAGGACAAAGACCTCTTCTGTTTTTGGTGGTGGGGTGTTATAGAACAAAGTGGTCTGGTGGGGGAGAAAAAATTTCTGTGAAATTCCCCAAAGCTTCCCTGAGTGAGCTAAAGGATTGCCCGTGCCTCCAGCTTTTCACAAATAACCAGTGGCTAACACAGTTGGAGCCAGATGCACTTTCAGTTCAGAGATGTGCTGTGTAGCACATAGCATCATAACACCTGCCAAATGTACCCCTCAGCATGGAGACTCAGCTATCTGTGATACAAGGCCTCATTCAGTCTTACTGGAAAAAATTACTGTTAAGGTTTAAGAAAGTACATTAGCTAAGACTGCCCCACAGGGAGAAAGAAGTGTAACTGTTAACTCTTGACATGCTAATAGTAGTTCTAGGTCTCAAGAGATAAAATACTGGCAAAACAAGTATAAACCTCAAAAGAAAGACAGAAAAAACAAAGAATCAGAAAAGGAAAACTCAGGAAGACTGATGATCACACTCCTCCAAACAGAATCTTCTTCCACCTGCCTGGTGACTGACAGCCTGGCCAGCAGATACTTATCAGATGTCTTATGCTTATTTACTATATTCAAGTATAGCCAAGTAGTATGAGTCCTAGTTACCTCCTACATGCATTAACAATAAATATTTTTTGAATCCTCTTGTCTATACACTGCTTGCAGATTCTCTGTGAGTACTGTAAAAGATGGCTGAACAGAAGTGATCCAGTAAGGGAGGTTTTCTCGGGGAGTGCCTTTGAATTCCTTGCTGCATGAATGGCTCATAAGTGGATCACTATCATAACTGCCAGAAAAATAAGATGTATCTTCCTGATGGACCAGTTGTGTTGGTGTACTGGAATAAGACCTTGGTACTACATCGCTCCTCATCTCTGCGTGTGACAACAACCCAAGGAATATTACATCAGAATACATAATATATAGTGCTCAGCTCCGGAAGCTTGACATCAGCAACATACATTCAAAATAGAAGCAGGTACTGCTCTGTGTCTCATTACTCCTGACTTCAGATATACTGGTCTCTTAACAATAACATGGCTCTGTAGCATGGGACAGCTAAGCTGAGACATTTCTGAGAAGAAGATACCAGAGATGGTTGCAGTGAAAGCATGACAACACAGTATACCTGAGTACCTTCAAGCTTGACGTGATTCTGCCTAGAAAGCAAAATCCTACTCAGAATTTGAGGCTATAGAGCTTGCTTGGAGCCAAGCCTCACTTCAATAACCAGAGGCAGAGCCTGACAGCTCTGCTCCTTGTATATACGCACCTGTACATAAACGCAGCCGCTGCCAGTTGCTTGCACTGTGTACGTCCCTGGGACACCGAGGAGAGATGCCTGATGCAGGACCAACTTGTTGTTCTTGTGCACGTGGAACTCCAATGGAGAAGACTCCTTGCCTTTCACCATCACCTTTACATCTCTGATCTCCTGAGGAATCAGGGCTGCATACTGAGCGAGGGCCTGCAGGCTAACAACTGTGTCCTGAAGACAAAGAATCAGTCACTTTGCTGTGTAGTCGTGGAGTACAAAATCGAGCACACTAGTTCAGGCACTGCAGGGAGGACCACAGTCCTCATGGCCCTTATTCACACTGATACTAGTGGGCTCTACACCACTAAGTGTATAGTCTGTGCCACAGGCAGCAGTAGGACTTCTGTTACCTGGAAAAGGTAACTTCTGAGCCCTGGGATTAGCAGTCCCAGACCCTCGGTAGTCCCAATTACTCTACACAAAAAAGAGTTTCCCCACAGCACTCCCCTTCCCAAGCAGGGCTCATATGCGTTTGTCAGCAAAGGATGGATCTAGAGTGACATGCATATGAGAGATGTGCACATCACTCCAGGCACAACATCTCTCTTTTTCTCCCATGATTTTCCATTGTTTTATTACCTGTGTGGAAGCAAATCCTCCAAAGGCATTTCTCTGTCTACTGAGCCAGCGCACAAGCTTGCTCACTGATGCTTCATTGAGTGACGAGTCTGGTTTGGAGACATGAGCCAGGACAATGTAGGCTACTGTCTCAATCATAGAAGAAGATTCTTCACCACCAGAATGGGATGCCAGTAGCTCTGCTGATGGGGGAAGAAACACGGGGAAGAGAAGAACTGTAGATCCCTATGAACATCAGCTCCTCCTGCGCTGAGACTCTTTGAGGACTGACAGTTTCCTGTACAGCATCAGAAGCGCAAGTGCCTTTCTGGGGCACCTCAGAGTGCAGAAGCCAAACCATCCTTTGGGGTTTTTTTACCTTGCAAGGGCCAGTGATCTATGATAGGCTCCATTTCTTCCTTTGAAAACACAGATACATCCAGGCCCCAAATCCTCAACCAGTTCCTCTAGGAAAAAATTCCCCTAGAAATTGGTGAACTCTGAGCAGAGGTTCTCTGTTTAAAGTATGCTCCAAGTCTTATTCAGCTCTGTGTATATTCAAAGCTATGTCTCCAAGCTTCAGCATTTTCACTGTTTCTGCTTTTACCTAGCATAGCGTAATAGGACCCTCTGTGTTGAAAAACTCCAGGACTCACTTCCAGTCAGTTTTAACCTATTGTACAAGAACTGGTCACTCTTTGAAGGAGTGTTGCTGGCAGGCTACTGGAGGAACAAGACTACACAACTTACTTTATTGGCATCCTCACTATGCAGTGCATAGGCTAGGACAATTTAAGCAAGAGCTGGGCTCTCACCTAAAGTCTAAGTTCAGAAGTACTGAAAACATCTGAGTCTGGTCAAATATTTTGCTGCAGTGATAGTAGGGGGCTAACCAAAATTCAGCTAAGAATTTAACTTAATTGTGCCAGTGTAGACATCTGCAATGGTACAAGTGTGAAAAGCTTAAAGGCTTTTAAATTCAAAGTCAGTTTTCAGAACAAACCTTCCCTTTTGAAAGAAGAACCATCAAATCACTTGTTTGCATTAAAACAGCCTAAAGACTTTAGAATATAGCTCAGGTTCTCTATGGAGGGCCTTTATTATTTCATTACGTTTATCACAGCAGAAAGTTCTTTCCTTGTTCCACATGTATACTCACAGAGGCAGCTCTGACAAGTATTGCATTCAATGTGTGCAATTCTACTTCTTTCAGTTTGCCCACCAGCTATTCTGTGAAACCAGCTGGCAGCTTGAGAGGCTAATACAATGAGCTGCACTCTGCAGTGGTAGCTGATCAGACTGAAAAATCCTCTGTCTCTCTTTTCCTCTGTGTTATCTTTCAGCCCCCAACGTAGTTCACCATACTGCCAGACAAACAAATGTGGGGAGGAACTTAAACCAACTCCAGTAACATTACTGTTTAACCATAGGCTTAGGTGCTTTGAACCCCCCACCCTGGCATCCTCATTCAGGACAGAAGCCCATCTTTTTCCCAAGTTAAAGACACAAAAAGAAGAAAAAAGCTCAGCAGCACAGCAACAAAGATGCATCCACCCAAGGGCCCTGAGCTGAGTACAGAATCAGTGGGGAAGCAGTCAAAAGATTTGAATTCTTCAAGTAAGTGCCCTGATAAGCACCTGAATAGACATGGTGAGGCAAGTGTCCTCTGCAAGATCTATTGTATTATATATGAATTGCTAAAGAATGACAGGAGCACCACAGCTCAAGTAAGCATTTTGACCATACAAATTAAGCATGGATCACCTCTGTTGCTTTTGATTAGAAATTGTTTCATGAGTCTTAAAAAACTAGAGGCTCTCACAGCTTCAATACATTATGATTTTTCTGACACAAAAGCCTATTTCAGAACAGATAAATCTCCCAGACTACTGCAATTAAATGCTACAGATATCAGACCTTAAACATAGTTTTTATCTCTAGGACTCAAAATATTCTCAACAGCAACAACCTACCCGTTTCCTTCTCTAGCATATCCAGGAGCTGCTCTCTCTTCTCCATGTCCTTACTCAGCGTGAAGACATAAGCCATCAAAGCCTTGACATAAAGGCTTGTCTTATCAAGTGTTACGTTCTTAAGACAGTGTAAGGCATTATCCAACATGGTGTCCTGAAAAAGGAATCCAAACCAACTGAATTTCCTCTGACCAAACAAAACATTGTTGTGAACACCTATTCCAGATACATATTTGATTTACTTTATTGCTAGGATCTATCTCATGGCTGTGGAACATGAAGTAGAGTGGACAAAACATCACTGTGGGTCAAAAGCAAAGGTGTGACTGGACATATCACTGGGATAGGGGATTGCTAATATAGTGGAGAATCCAGCTGTAGGAAGCATCTGGCAACACACTGGATCAGAGTTGTCAAACCTGCATGCTGTAGGTCTTGGACCATAAGGGGGTATGATGTTGTTTTTATAACTATACCATCAAGTTCTTTTTTGCTAGAACAGTCTATACTTATCTTGTAGATCATTGCTTTTATTTTTTTTTGGGGGGGGAGAGGGGGAGGGCATTGCATACCTGAAAGGGGGCCTTTTTATTTTCCTTTAGCTCTATTGATCAGCTGCTATTGCCTTTCCCTGCAAGCCCTTGTATTGTCATTTTGAGAGACAATTGTTTCCCCTGAGATCAGCTGGGAAAAGCAAGTCTTCTGCTTTGCTGAAAATCAGGCCATTTCTATTAGGAATTCCTTGCCAAGTTCAAATGAGAGAACCTTTCAGCACCTCAGGCTGGGTTCTCCCTGAAGCCACCGGCCAGGGAAGGAATGAATGGTGGAGCTGGTTCCCAATCCCTGCAAGAGTTCAGAGGTGACTTACATTTTTCTCCAGATGGAGTTCCACCAGTGCAGCAGTGATATAGGCTGTTAATGAGATTGTGTCGTCCACACCACCCTGCAAGCACATAGATAATCATCAGAGAAGTACAATTCCAGCCACAGCTTGCCTGTCATCGTATAGTCACTGCAACTGCCTATGGATGACCTTTCTGAGGGAGTACAGTATCATGCTTCTGGGCACTCTTGGACAGGAAACAAGGACACTTGCTGGATATCACCAAGGTCTGGTGTTGAGGGCAGTCTCAGAGCTGTGTTGTACATACAGCCTAGGCATCCCTTCTCATAGAAGGGCATAAAGCAAACTGTTAAGCAATGTATTTTATTAAAAATTAAATATGTTACAACTGTACACTTGAACAAAGTGTGCAGGATTTGCATACAAGAAGGTATGCAAGTTTACCTACAGTTCAGCTGACTAGAGAAGCTACAGGTTGATCTGTTAAACAGGCTTTCAGGAGCCTCTTTTCACATCAGAGAACATTAATTCTTGGGGAAGTTCTGTTTGGATCCTCAGACATGAGACAAGACTAAGTCTAAATGAGGGGGGGGAAATTGGGCTAAGATGCTAATAAGCATTGTTCACACTGAATAGCAGAAACTTTGAAATGTAAGGCAGGCAGGGGCGCAAGACCTATCCCAAGAAGTTCAAATAGAAAGCTCAATATGCAAAATTAATGAAAGCCGGGCAAGGATGAACAATCTACATGTACACTCTGGTTTTATTTTGTACTGCACCCAAATTTTAAGAAAAAAAAAAAAGCATAACCCTTTGCTTTGCTAAAGTAGCAGCATGTGTGTTTTTTTTTTTTCATGAGCTTGCCTTGTATTTAATAAGAGCTATTTTGCAATCTGACCAGTCTGGATTGTTCATACCTTTACAAAGGCAATGAACCCAAGTACTGCCATGCTGCATATGCAGTGCTCAGTACCTAAGTATCGGGACATGTACACCAGGAGTTTGGTGCATTTCCAGCTATATTGCAGGATCATTTGGGGGATGCCATGATCCAGGAGAAGTCATACTTTTTGGGTGACGGAGAGACAACTGTGCTCTTCAGAGCACATAAATTATTTTTCTTTGTAAGGCATGAGAAGAGGGAGAATCCAGCCAGGGTATTCTAGAGAAGCATTAAAATATAAAAATATTTCTCCCTGTGTGCTTCAAGTGCCTTCACACAATTAGTTGTGTTGTCTTTTGGCTAGAGTAAAAATGAAGAAAGCCTAGCAGAGGTTAAAACCTCTCACAGAGGAAATGCCTGCTGTTTTAGGCCATGCTTTTTCATTCTGTTCTGGGAAGATGCCTTGGCTGTGCTAGGCCATAGGGACATTGCTTTGTGCTACCGTGCACAGTGGAAGAGCCTGGGGGAAGCAACCCCGTGCCTCACATTGTGTTCCTCCTGCTCTCACTCCCATGTCTGGCAGCCATACCTTCAAGTCATTGTTGAAGAGCTTCCCCACACTCTCAAAGCAGCCACTGGGCAGCTGGTGCTTCTGCAGCCAGAGCAGAGCACTGTGCACGTGATCCTTATCGATGTAAATGTAAGAGCTGGCTTGTCCAAAGGACCTGGCTACAAAAGCTGTCAGCCTGTGAGCAGAGCACAGAGGAATTCCATGTCACAGGCAGGAGATGAATCAGCAAGGACAATAGGTTTATGGTGACAATAGCAAATCTGGTCACTCACCATGTGTTGCCCTGGTCATCGCCTTTCCCAAAGGCGCTGTAGGAGCCATCGTCATGTTTGTAGAGCAGTTGACGCTGGTAACCTGTGACAAGAGGTGATGGGACATGACTGTCACTGTGAGGACCTGTAGCATCTCAGACTGTGTCCTTGCTGTGGGAATCCTGGCTTCACAGCAAGAGACTTCACCAGGTCCTGCAGTCAGAGACACTGAGGCAAGCACGCCACCCGCACACAATTCCCCATGCATCCCACAGCAACAGCATGACAAGAAGCAGTTGCACAGCATCACTGAAGTGTGCCACACAGCTGCTCTACATTACTGCAGTTGTTATGAGCAAGTGCTGTGGGTATCTTCCCTGCTGTTTTACAGAATGGTGACATGCTCAGCCACCTCACGTCTCCCATGCTCCAGTGAGCCCTTACAGGCCCTTGCTGTGAATAAAAAGAACAGTAGGAGTGAGGAGGAAGGCACTTCCTAGAGGGGACCAAAATGAAACCCTGTTTGTTTTTCAGCACTTCTGCTAGGCCCTCTTGGGACTCCAAAAGACACTTATTATGGGATGTACAGGAAGCAACAAGGCCATGCCTTTAAGCTCTGAGGCCAGAATGCTGTCTGCATCTGTTTGCTCTCCCTGCACCCTCTCCATGCCCGCATTGTTTAGCCCCTGCTTTGCCTCTCTGCTGCCACCGTTCTCTTGGGTAGGTTCCCCTCTCCCAGATATCAGTACATGCTCATGGTAGAAGAAAGGGATTCAGATCCTATCCAGGGGAGCTGCTGAGCTTGCAGCACAGTAAGATAAGTAGACTGGCAGACTCAAGTGTGAGGCATGTTACATCATGAGACGCAGACATTGGCACAATATTAAATTCAGATTATACCAGACAGAATTGACACACCCCGAAAATATGTGTCCTAAAACATGGGGAAACACTAAACTACTGAAATCCCATCAATTCCCAAAGGCCACTCTTTATTCCATGTAATAGCAGCTGATGCCCTTTTTCCACCAGGTACTTCTGTCAGCCTTGGACTGATAAGGGAGTAAACATGCATCACATAATGATGGAAATCATTAATTACCCACACCCTTCTCAAAAAAGCAGACTTAGTACTTCAGTTACAGCAAAGACAGAAGTCCTGCTTTCTTCAGAAAGACAGTTTTCTTTCCATGAGACATTTTCCTTTTTCTCTGTGATACCTTTCTTTGTAACAGCTCTGGCAGTGCTCCCATCCCTGCCCTTCACCTTCCCACCACACCTGTGCCCAACAATCATGATTTAGATCAGCTTCATTCTGCAGCAGAAGGAGGAAGGACAATGTTTACCTGTTGTCAGGAATTTCAGTGCTTTATCTTTAATTTCTGCATTCAGTTGTTTAGTCTTATTCAGGTACTGGAGTATGAAGATGTTTGGTGCAAACTGAACCATATTCTGTTCACCACAGCCAAAGGGCATGCTTAGCAGTTGGTCTAAATTTTGAAGTGCTGGACCCATGATGTCACCTTGCATTTGAAGTGGAGACACAGGAGAAAGGAAAAGCACAGACATCAAACAGTATGAAATGAAAGGACTGCTGCCTTCTCTAAACTCTACTGGGATCCTAGAAAAGAGCCAGTTCCTAACTGAACAGATATGACTGAGATTTCTGGTGACCCCTAACAGACTAGGCCAGCACAGAAAGGGAAGACGTCATGGTTCTGGAAGGAAGGAGGGAATGTGAACCTTGAGGGGGTCCAAAGAAAGGTAAAGAGAGCTGTCATTCCAGACTGGGTGCCAAGGAGGGAAAGTAATTGCACAGGCAAACTAGGTGGAAATCTGCAGGGATGGTTTTGGTTCACTTAGGTGGATGGCAGTGACAGAAGTCAGAGGCGATACCCCATTTTGTGCCTTCTCCTCCAGCCACTTGGGGATCACCTAGAATCATGCCATATGGGAGGGATAAACATGGAAAAGATTACTTGATCTGCATTTCTGAGGCCAACATCACACCCATAACAGATAATCTCATGAGGGGTGAGGTCAGTGCATCAGTAAGGTCAAAACATTGTGCAAGCTTTTCTCACTGGGGACCAACGATCAGGGAAGGCCTTTCTCACCAATCACTGAGAAAGTGGCTCGGCCAGATCCCTCCAGCACTTCTGCAGGCAGAGTCAGGGAGAACTCTTCAGAGACGGTGTTATCTAAGGAAGGCAGAACCCAGAAATTTATCCCAGGGAAGAAGCATCACACACAAGTGTAACATTCAAGGAGACCCAGATGAGGCTTAATGTGATATTGAGTCACAGCAGCCAAGACTTGCAAACAAATACCTCAACACAGGAAACTTTGCCAGGTAAAAGAAAGACATGGACAAATTATAGTGGTTGTTCTCCCAGGCAGGGATGGTACCATCAGCGCTTCTTCTCTGACAAATTTGCCCAACCTTTGGGATTTACCCTAGCCCTGCCCCTTCCATCCTGCTCTCATGGTCAATAGCAGTCAGGGATTCTTTTTCCCTACCTGAAGGGCAGAGAAAGGCATTTTGGGTCTTCTCTTGCAGGACTCCTCCTGGCTGCAGATGGAGAAAGAGTAGTTCAGATAGGGAAGACAAGAAAGGAAGTCACCATGCCTCAGCAAGTTTGTCTGCTTTCCAAAAAGAAGAGGCTAAACTTATCTTAGCATCTTGCTAACTGCCCCAGGGGACAAACCACTGTCTCCAGGGGTTCTCCACCCTGAGATATGACTAACCTTCACAAGCAGAGGTTTTATCACTGTGTCTCTCCCTCCTTGCAAAGGTGTGACAACAATTGCGTTACCACACAGACTGTGTGAATCTTCTGCCATGCTGCTTACAGTGACATTCACTTTGCCTGCAGAGAGCACAGGGGGACATTGCTGAGTTCTTGAAGCAGACAGCTGTATGCACAAGCATTAGGCCCAGACATGCAGACACAGGCAAACTCCACCCCTCCTCCCACCAGCTGCCACACATCCCTCTGCCCAAACTCACCCAGCCTGGTGGCTGTCACATTCCACTCAAAGGTTTTTGCTTCATTGGCACAGAGGCAGCTGGTGAACTGGCAGCTTGGACAGGCATCCACCTTTAGTTCTGGAGTCTCTGTGAGGGTGGTGCGGATCTGAGTATGGTTGGATGTACAAGCACATGTTGGGACAGTGTTAGTAACAAATACTGCACAAAGGAGCAAATACCTTGGGTCATATAAAGTGTGAGTGCTTTATGGCCAGTATCTAGGGCTCCAGAGAACCTCATAGGTTGCCTTTGGGCTCAAGTTTTTGTTCCAACAGAGGCTGTGTAATTGGGGGAACTCTCTTGGAGGAACTCACCTGCATACAGTCCTTGAGGTAGTTAAAGACAGTGGCTTTTAAGCTGAAAGTCTCTCCTTGGATCACAGAGTATGGCAGTGACAGATCCACAAAGAAAGGCTGGAAGACCCTAAGAGTGGTCAGCGGTGAGAAACCAAAGCCAGTATCAGCAACACAGAAGGTGTTGGCATTCCATTCCGTGATGGTGTCAGGTACAGCAACTTGGAGAGACGCTTGCCCATTGCCCCTACAGCAGGAAGCAGAAGAGGAGAACTTGATAAGAAGCAGTCAGAATGCTCCAGGAGTGTCTCTGGGGAAGGCAGGTAGAGGCTGTTACCAACCCGACAGAAACCAAATCCCAAATCCAGGTCTCTGGGAAAAGTGTCCGTGGTTTTGGCTTCTTCTTGTCACCAGAGTGAGGTTCAGAACCAGCACGGGCAGCAAGATTGTCAGCTAGAAAGCAAGTAGTATCTCAGAAAACAACATATATATGCCTATAGGTGAAATTAGTTCTTCATTTACAGGCAATCTAACACAAACAAGAAATGTTTTGTGGCACAGAACAAGAGTGGACAGGGTTGGCATTTCAATGAGAACCTGACACACTGTGTGTACCTTTGGGGAATACAGCTTGAGGGAGACAGAGTTGGATGGAGTTTAGCCTGAGACTCAGTCTGGCAGATCCAAATTTGGTCTGGATCCAGGGGGAGACAGCATGCTAAAATGGAGTCACATTCTTAAATAATCTGTGAAAGTGCTGGTGAAGAGCACACTACATTTTGTATGAAAAACACTGAACACAGGGCCACCAATAAAGCATGGAGATTTCAGCTTTTATCTGTGATTTATAAATCAGGTCCATTGAAATGGACACAGGCTTTGTTGCTCTTATACACAAACAAGAAATGCAGCAGGATGAAAGTCAGCTGTCTCAGCTGCAGGCTGGCCAGAACTGGGAGAGGGGAACCCCTTCAGTCAAGGAGATGGACATGTCTGTTCCTTACCAACAATATGATTTTCCATCTTGAGTATCTTTGTCTCAAAGTCTGGCCGTACACAGGAAACTGGTTTCTTGATTCTAGTATTGGTTACTATTTTCATGCGCAGTCTCTGGGAAATGAGTAAAGAGGGTAAATCAATGATAAATAAAAGGAAATTAGGAATGTTGAAACTATCTCATGGTCATAGCTATCATACAGGGGCTGATGACAGCTGAAACACTTTTAAATGCTGATTGCTTAAATCCATAGATTTACAGGCTCAGATTCTGACCACAGCATGAGGAATGGAAACCAGCTTTCTGAGGAATACAAGGACCAGTTACTACTTCTCATACCAGTAACTTTCAACTAGATCTGTACTACATATGCCTAACCCTAACAATGAGACATACTCTAGGAGTAAGCATCTAGAAGACAGCGCAGCAACAGGCCTTTGGAGGGGAATCAGGGTCTGTGTTTTTAAGGTAGAGTTCTGTCAGCCTGAGAAGCCCATGCAACTCAGACTAGGTGTTGGGTGGTTTTCAGCATGTTGTTACTCTTTTCTGCTGTTTTGAGGTGCTTCTACTTGTTTGTTTTGTGTTTTTTTTTTTAAACAGTGTTCTATCGGAAGCAGCACTTCTTCGATTTCAGTTAGCAGACAACACTTTTCTGGCTATCGTGATTGTTAGCAGATTAGTTTATTTTGTTGTTTGTCTCAACAGTTAGCTATAAAGCCAAACTGTGAAAGACTTATTTTTATTAAAACTGGTTTGAGGACAACTAAGAACAGACTCAATGAAACACAGAGTAAAGTAGTTTGTAAATAAAATCCTAGCCAAGTGGTGATCAGTCAAAATACAGTGAGGTGCTCAGGTATTACTGCTATGTTCTTGCCACTCCCCCTTTGTAGTTATAGTACACTAAACTAAATTTGTTGATTTTTATGCTGTCTTTCTATAATCAGGTGGTTTGCACTATGCTTACTCATCTTTCCCCATAGTCCCCAAATGAGTGTGGCTACACTGAAAAACAACAACAGATGACTTTTAGCAAAGAAAGTCAGGGCAGCTGAAGTTTGCAAAAAGTAAATTCTTGTAGGCATTCAGGATAGCATATTGGAAATCACTCGTCCAGGAAAAGTTTAGAGTATAGACACTCACCTTAAGCAGATTAAAGACATCAGCCTCACTTTGGTACCACGGTGCACCCATCCGAGCCTTTCTGTGGAGGCTGGGCTGCTGGGGCAGACAAGGGTATCCCTCAAAGTCTTCCAAGTGATAAGGGAACCCTCGTCCTCCAATTGTGAAACTGTCTTCAAAGATCTCATCATACAACTGCAATGGAAAAACAGAGGTCTTCAAAAGGAGCCAACCAACAAGCATATGTACAGGTCAAATAGCTGGACTGGAGCCCTCTTACATTTTGTAAAGCTTTGCAGTTGAGGAAGTTGACACTGGCTCAGCTCATACTAAATGACATAATATAAAGGAGTGGAGACATATATATATAGGATAATATATACTAAAGGATATATACCCAAGGAGTGGACGTAGACAAGTAGCTTTTAGTCTGCAAGACAGTTCAAGCCTTTCAGCTCAAGGGTGCAAAATTTGGATAAAAATGCACAATTCAGTTTGAGCACAAGGCATTGGCACATCTGACTTACATATTTAAAGATTACTACTTCACAGAGCTGTTAGTAGATGATGCAAATACTCTGCACAAGAGTAGCATTCCTCTGAAATGGAACACCACATCACACTGTAGGCCTTATTTACAGGTACAGCATGTCCCCCCTGGATTTGGTGAAGCTTCTTTGTAACAGTCTGGACTGCTGTCATTTAACTTACAACTTCCCATGAGGCATATACCTGTTTTATTACCTCTGGTATACATCGTGGAATTATGTTAGGATTTTCAATTTTTGCAGCATTTTTTCTTTAAGTTTTTAATTCATTCTTCTGAAACACACAGCTGCTTTAAGATAAGCTCCTCCAATCCTTCTAGATTCTCAGAATGCACCCATTTGCTGACAAAATCCTGACCACTTTTCACCAGCCATTGTGTGCTGCCTATATCTACTGTTTTTTAAAGAACTGCTTAGGTTCTCAGCTTGATCTGTCACATGTCAATTCAGCAGTGGTTGGGGCAGAGGGATAGAAGGACTCTATAGGGCCAAAACTCCATTTCAAAGGCTTAGCCTCACTGACTGGTGAAAGACAAAAGAGCAGAGAGACAAGTGGAAAGCACCAGCATCTCTTTGAAGTTGTTTTCCCTGCCTACCCCTGCAGTGCCATGTAGAATCCATCACTCTTCAGGGAGAGACCCAGAGTGCAGGGATGATGCATGAGGAACATGATCATCACATAACTGCTCAAAAGAGGCCAAAAGAGGGGGAATGGCAGGGCAGCCACCTAGCACTGCAGCTATGTCCTGAGACATACTATGGGCTTCCTCCTGCCCTTGCATGGAGACAGAAGACATTAGGGGATTGGTAATGGCTGGCTGCACTCACGCTGTCTGCTGTTAGGGTATTGTTATTCTTCAGGAGAACGCTTTTGTCAACAGCTCGGACAGAGCACAAGGACCCTGGAGCAGCCTTGATGTTCAGTCCAACTTCTGATCCAGGGACTTCCTCCTTGTGTGAGAATTCCAGTGAAACCTGCAAAGGAAGATAGGGTCTGGGGACTTAGCACTGTCGAGTAGGACTCTGTGACTTTTATGTGTCTGGGTAACAGAGGGAAAGATAGGGAATAAGGTAAGGAAGGGGGATAAGATGCTAAGAGAGGCCCACCTAGAAATCCATTGGAAAGGTTAAACAGGCTGCAGTGCACACAGCTCTAGCCAGAATTCCTCTACCACCATGCATCCACCACACTCTGATCCAAAACCACCACCGAGAGCTAAGCAGACAGGCTTCTCTTCTGTGTTAGGGAGAACATGGGAGACACTGTGTTCCCAAGTCAGTAATAAGGAATGGGAGAAGAAAATAGAGTTCAATAGGGCCTGGTTTACTCCTGGAGCAAAGCTTGCCAGTCAGTGTTGTGGAAAGCAGGACTAGGAATTCAGGGAAGAAGGAGGTTGACTGTTTTGTTTCCCAGACAAAAATACTGGGCATCTGTTTTTGTGTACATCCACTTTACACCATTTGGGTTAGGATAAAACAGGACCAGGAGCCACAGCAGACCACAGCACACCAAAGATGCTGTCATACTCCTTATGAGATTTCTACTCACCTTGTGTCTAAAGCACTTTTCTAGTTCAAACTGCTCCACATCAGCCACCACCTCTCCATCCGAGAAGACTGCATACACCAGGAGCTTGATGTCAGGGAGGAAGTCATTGCCAATAGTCAGAGGCAATGAGAAGGAGCCCTGCAAATCTGCACAAGACAGCAGCAAGGAAGAGAGGGAAAACATCCAGTTCAATCAGCTCATTGGGGTAGGATACACATTAAGAATCAAAAGCGGAGATAACAACACCCCACACAGACACTGTCACAGATTAACAATAAAGCCAGAATACCAGCCATTTATTTGACTCACATCTTCTCTCAAGGTACAAACTAGCAGCAAAGTCATAAAATTGGATATTAGATCAATTACACAGGAGGAGGACAGTTGCTAGAAAGACACTGAACTGTGAGGAGATTGTGTTGGTTTAATGATGTGAACTACCACTAAGAACTCAGTTCAATATTTCCCACCTGTGGATAAGAATAGCACCTGCAGATATAGTCACTAGAGAGCGGTCAGTTTTCTGGGGTGTGTTATGAGGCGCTTCACATGCTTTTACTCACTCTCATGCTGGGTAATTGGCACCTTCTTCTCTCTGCTGAAAAGGATCTTGCCTTTTGCTATCACCTGAAGAGCAAAGAGAAGCACCACTCAAGAGTCTGAATTCTGAGAACACGAGGAGAGTGTGAAAAGAACCTGAGAAGAGAGAATGACGTCTGACAGATGTTGCCACAGAGGTTGCTCTCACAGGTCATGACTTCAAGAGCTCTGAAGCAGAGATAGTGATGGTATAGCTGTGTAAGACTTGAGAGAAATAGGTTAGGCAATGAAAAGGCATGGCTGCTTGTTAAGCCAGAGGTATTTTTGAAGCTAAGAGCTGCTGCTCTTAAGACCCAGTGAACTCTGACGTTTGTAATACTAGGATACAGCACTTTTTGATCGTATGAATTAGTCCAGCTCAGTAACCAAGATACTCATAACCTCTCAGCTAGGCTGTAGGCACACTCTTGCTTTGGACTCAGCTTCTTGGAAGTAGACTTCATCACAACATTATTACATACTTCGGGTCTGCATCAAGGCCCTGCACAAGGGTCTTTCCAGCCTTTTCCTGTAAATACATGGGCCAGGGCATGTTGGCTGCCTCAGAGATTGCCTCTTAGTTCACAGACAGATTGCTCCAGACACTGATGGATGTCTGGGTCATACCTGCTAGGCAGAAACCAGGATGGTCCTCCACTGCAACCCATGTGAACTTAAGAGAAAGCAGGTTGGATGGTAGGCATCTATCACCCAAGCTTAGGTCAAGGCACTGATAACAAAGCAAAGAAGCGGGGGGCATGGAACAAGTTCAGGAACTGGAAAGCAGGTGGAGGTTTGGCCAGAACAGAACTCACAAACTGACTTACACTGATCTTGGAGTACCTTAACCTTTCATTTGAGTATCTCTGTGCTGTGTGAAAAGGGAAAAATATCAGTAAGCACAATCTTGCCCCGAGAATCAGCTGTCTTCTGTGCTCACCAAATAGTAGAAATCAATGTGGTCTTCTTCAGATCTGAGTTTATTCCGGTCAAGTATATAATCCACTTGCACTTCCTGCTCTTGATCACAGGGCATCACATCATTCTTGGCCTTGATCTCAAGGAAACTGTTGCTCTCAGAGTAGAAAGGTTTCAGCCAGTGTAAGCTATCCTCAACTTCTGTGTAGCTTTCAGAAGAATCTTGGTTATCACGACTTTTAAGGTTGTAGGTACCCTTCCAAGCACAAAGGCATGAGATGGCAATTATTATCAAGTGATGCAAGGGAATTTGTACCCCTGCTGGAACACTGTTATCAGCTGAGCTGATGGCAGACCACACATCTCTATTCTTAGAATGATATTTTGTTTAAGTATCATTTTAAAGTCCAAGACTTTCTCTTAAGAAGTCTTAGCAAAAATTCAGTCTAGTAGATTTGACCACAATCTGATTTTTTCTCCTTTATCTTTTCATGGGGACACATCCCACCCCAGACTTAAACCCCACAAAAGATTTTCAGTGGCTGATGCTCACCGTCAGCGCAACCAGCGTGCTGTTCCAGCTGGTAGTATCCAGTGAGAAGTGAGCTTCCCCTTTGTCATCTGTGAGGAGTGACAGGTGTGTCTCCTCATCGTTGACATCAACTTTTAGGTAGACGGTTTCATTTCTGAGGGGAGACTTGCCACTGGAGCAGAACATCTGTAGAGAAGGGGAGGAAGTTAATACCCTGTTGTGCCACACTCTGAGGCACTGCCAGTGCTTAATATTAATTGCTTCTATCACTGGGCTTCCTCAGCCCTTCTAGCTTTCAGACATATTGGAAGGATCCAAAGAGAAGTCCAATAAACACACAAAACTAATAATTTGCAGCTCTTCAGTACTGGAAATTGTCACAATTTAACCTCAGCCGGCAGCCAAGCCCCACGCAGCTGCTCACTCTCTCCCCCAACAGCATGATCAGGGAGAGAGAACTGAAAGGGTAAAAGCTCAAAAACTTGTGAGTTGAGATAAAGACAGTTTAATAGAGAAAGCAAAAGCTGTGCACACAAGCAAAAGAAAAACAAAGAATTCATTCAGTGCTTCCCAGCAGCAGGCAGGTGTTCAGCCATGTCCAGGAGAGCAGGGCCCCATCGCTCATAATGGTTACTTGGGAGGACAAACACCACCACTCCAAGAATTCCCCTTTCCTCCTTCTTCCTCCCAGTTTATATGTATGTCATATGGTCTGGAATATCCCTTTGGTCAGTTTGGGTCACCTCTCCCAGCTGTGTCTCCTCCCAGCCTCCCATGCACCTCTAACTTCCTTGCCAGCGTGATAGACCAAAAATCAGAAAAGGCTTTGGCTCTGTGTAAGGCCTGCTCAACAATAGCAAAAACATCTCTAAATTATCAACCCTGTGTTCAGCACAGATCCAAAACTAGCCCCATACTAGCCACTGTGAAGACAATTAATCCTACCCCAGCCAAAACCAGCACAAAAATACATGGTAATACAGGCAAATGAGACACCTATACTGGGGAATCCAAGACTAATTTCTCAGATCCTGAGCTGCTTCTTGGACAGTGCTACGGGATACTTGATGATCAGAAGGACTCTTGTCTCCAGCAACTTAACTTGCTGTTCCTTGTCCTTCATGCTGGGGTCAGCAGTAGTGGCCCACCTGAAGGTTTTTCTAGCCCCAGGACGGCAGTATCACCCTAGCATTGCCCAGGATACTCGGGTCAGAAATGAATGCCAGGGAACTGATATGCAAGGTTTAGAGAATTCTGTGAAGTTACTATGAGCATTTGTCCGAAGGGAAAGGTATGTGCCTGTTGACACCACTCCCAAACACACACACACTAGTTTCAGGAGCTACTCCCGGGGAAACCTCCAGAAACTGCAGCTGGCCCCAAAATTCCAGTCCAGGGAATATAGTAGATTGGGATAGGGAGAAGAAATTGCTTCTAGAGGAGGCTTGACTCCTAGCTGTTGGATGCCAGCAGAGCAGCATTTACTTTCCTGGGGATTGTTGATTTTTACCTACAAAAGGTTATATCTATGATGCACTCTAAATAGAGAAGGGATCTGTTTGTATTACCTTCCCTGTGTATGGTAAACCACGTTTGTAGAACGGATGGAGGTTGATAAACTCTATAGATTTCATTATTGTTGCAACAGGAATTAGAACTGATTCTGCAGAATGTGCCTCTGTATGGAGAGATGAAAAATCTGTTAAATCCTAAGTAGTGCTCTTGGGGAAGCAGAAGACAAAAATGCACTTCAACACTACCTACAACATCTACAACCTCTAAATTTAGGAGAGAATACATTCTTCTAGAATATGATTCCCTCAACCTTTTTTGGTTCTCTGCCTCATGACATGCATCATATCCTCTAAGTATTTATTTATAAGTATTAATTTATGTTTATTGAAGATAAAGGGAAACTAGGGGACTGTTTAGTTATAAACAGTCCAGCACTGTGGGACTGGCTGGGGAACACCTTGTCCCAGGCAATTACTAAAAAGTTTCATACATGCTAAGAGAAATGAATGGCAAAGAAGATTACGAAACCTGGTAATAACAGATGGAAGAGATACTCGAATAGACACCATTACCATGACAGAAGATTTGGGAACCTTCAAGTTATTTTTTTCAAAAGGAATTTCACTGCCACAGGGAGGCCAAAACCAAAGAAGTTGCTTGTGAGGAAGAGAATACTTGACATATTCTCCATTACCTGTTCCATTTTCCACCATTTTTCCTACTGCAATTATGAAGCTGTCAGCTTCATTTATTTCCAAAGCTTCTGTCTTCACTGTAAAAGTAGCACAGCCATTCTTGTTTGTCTGCAGAGAGAGAGAAGAACAGAGAGAAAGAGCATGGTGTGGAGGAAGATGAACAGTTCCATAGATGGCAGGCAATCCCAAATAAGTATTTCTAAATATTTTTGGAACAGATGGCAGCTCACAAAGCTTAACTGCAGAAACCCATCATGGATACCTCAGCCAGAAAAGAAAATCAACAACTGTTTGGATTAAACAGTCGTCAAAAAAGTAGTAGAAAAAAGTACTTCAGGCAAATCACACAAGGGTTAATCAGGGGATTGGATTCAGCCCAAATTCCACAGCTGAAAGAGCCTGTGTCATTACGTGATCTAAAGGTCTCCCTGAAACTATCTGGCCCTAATGAATAAAGCCTGACAGTGTGGCTTTCCATTCATGACCATCTCTGTGATATGGCATATTAAACAAGGACATCCTGCCAGTTAAATATTGCAAGATCTTTGCCAAGAATTAAGGCAGAGATTGGGTACAGCCTATGTTTCTAGTCGTGCTTCTTAAGTGCTTCACAGAACCTTTCAGGGCCTCTTGCATGCCATGTGGAGCTGGCATTCAGTTGGTGTTTTGCACAGCTAAGACTGTACAGCATTCCAGCTGGAGTGCATTTTAAAAGATGCAGACATCCAGTTATACTTTTATATTCTGGCTTGTTGCTGGCTGGTCTGATATTTAGAAATATTTTCTTGTGTCTTTCAAGGCAGAAGAGCTGCATCTGAAACCCACAGCAAAAACCAAGTATGGAGCCTAACCACAAACATACTAAGGAATACAGGTGAGCAGAAACCATAACCAGAAATGGACACAGTCCATAGACCAGACCACTAACAAGCTTAAGTTTAGTTTTTCGCATAGTTTACACCTTCTCCTGAAGCACCAAGTCAGGTATGAGCTAGAGCAATAATTCAAGCAACAGTCACAGGAAGCGGAATCAATGTCAAGCAAATAGGAAGACACCAGACTAAATAGGTTGGTGGCCATCAGAGGTGCATCGAGGCAGTTTAAGGGGACAGACACACATTTCCAGCATGTTACACTTTCCACTCTGATATTTGTTCACCTACCCAGCTGTTTTGTTTCCTCATATCAGTAGAATCTGGTATATTGTCTTCCATGGCCTGGGAGAATGTCATAAGGATTAAATCTATGCTCCCTTGAACGGGCTTCCCATAGGTATACCTGTGTCAAAGGGGAAAAACATTCACCTGAAGACTGTCTGCTTCATCAGAAATATTAACCCAGGGCATCTCCCATGCTCATCAGGGGAAGTGGAGCCTGGAGAGCTTTGTGGTATCATGTACTCACTTGCCACAGATCTGCAGATGAAATTCCTCATCTGCTGTAGTGATAAATGGAGGGTGCTCAATCTTTATTTCAAATTTTTTCAGCACTATATTGAAGAGAGGAAAATAAAAATATAGAAAAAAACCCAATATTGAGTATGGACACTGACTTTAAGTTCTGTTACAGCTCTGGTCCATATGAGGGGAAAAACAGCAATGTCCCCAGTTATTCATCACCATGCTTCAATAAGAGTTACCCCCTTCAGCCACACAACCTGGTATTTGCTGCTACAATTGTACATGGGACAGCTTTCTACTCCAGCTCAGTCAAGCACAAGCATTTTACGTGGCACAGGGTTTTGTCCTTACCACTGCAACTGAATGGGACCAAGATATGGTTGCACTTCCTATTACAGCAGCTAACTGGTGTGGGTAGTAAACCTAGCCTAGAAAAGGGTGACAATGAGCAGCAAAATGTGCTCATCACAGGGCCCAGACATAGGTAGAACTAGTTGTCAGCCCACGGCCTCTCCTTTTTACCCTATGCAGCTGCAGAGCCTCCAGCCCAAAATGAGATGTGCCACACAGACCCATCCTTGTCCCCAGTCTGTTGCCCTCCCAGGGTGAAAGGTCTAATGAACACAGCTGCATCACCCTGCTCTCTGCTCAGCTGCCCACACTGCTTTTCCCTCACTTCTATTGCCCGAGTCTCACCATATTCTTCAACACTGAAGGTTTTCCGAGCCATGTCTTGTTGCACTGAGATGGTATACTTCCCAAGGGATGCTTCGGATGCCAGGGGAAAGGACAGATCCACAATGCCATGACTTGGCTTTACATTCAGCCACTCAGCAATACGGTTGTGTTCAGGATCCTATTTGGGAAAGGACATGCAGAGCTACCAAGTCATGCTGGAAGCCGTACCCAGGCACAAGAAGGCACTACAAGGGCTTACCCTTGACACAGTAGAATGGATTCCAGATAACTAAGAGAGACTCCTTCACTTCCCTCCAGTATCATTTTAATGAACATATGAATTGCAAAGATTGCCAAGAACTGTAAAGCTACTGGGAAGTGGTAACATCATAACACCATGGAAACGAGAAGTCATCGTTGAGTGCTCATCCTTGTTGAGCAAATGTTCATTACTGCCCTGCCTCTATCTCAGCTACATGCTTTACAGAGGAACTGATTTGAACACAGAACCCAGGCTGACCAGGTACAAAAGCATTCAGCTGAACCTCAACCATAACCATAACCTTATGAAGTTACATTTGCAGCATAAGTCTGTCCAGGAGTGAAAGGGCACCGTAGAAAGACAGACATCTCCCTTTCATCAGTTCTTTGTCTCTTACCTGAAGCCATATCTGGGAATACTGTAAAAACAAAAGAAACACAAACTCAGTTTTGTACAGTGCAAAACACCATCCTTGCGAACCAGTATAAATAACTCTGCCTGACGTGGGCCCTTGATCAGAAAATTCTGCCCCATCCAGACCCCACACTAGGTCTTCTCCTCCCTTTGTACCAGTGTACACTGCAGTCTTTCTCCAAGGGATCAGTGGATGAGTGGTTTCCTCCAAAGATAATTTGTTCTTATGGTTTAACAGGCATGAAGGGAGATGTCTCTTTCATGAGCCTCTCAATATGTCTCATGCTGAAGCTCCTATTTCTAGAAAAGCACAAGGTGATACTCACCTCATTTTCAATGACCTTAAGGTCCTCATCAAGGTTCACAATTCGAAATTTCACTGTAGATATAAAGAAAAGCATATTAAAGCATTCTGGCTGCAACATGTCCTTGCACAAATCTGCTTCTCCTTTTCTGTGCTCCAGTATTCATGTCTCTCTGTTTACCTCAGAAGTATCTAGATCTTTTCCTAAACAACCCACCCCAGAGGGCTTTGTCTGGGAGGTTTATATGCAGCTGCAGGCTGTAGAAACTCACTGCCTTCACCTGGAAAGATTACAATGTTGAGGTAAACAGTGGGGTTGTCTGCAGTGGGGTCTGTCTGCAGTCCGTGCATATTGTGAAGACTGTGGTGTAACTCTCTGTAATTCCACAGCTTGGAACTGTTGCTCTAGACTTTACTCAAATATTAACAACAGTCTTTAAAAAACAAGAGGTTGTCCAGTGTCCTGGAGAGCCTGGCTTTCCTTTCAGGTCTCACTAGAGATATTTTGCTAAAACAATACCCAGGAGCAGCAGGCTGGGAATTGGTGTAGCACATCTTGGAGGGGAACATCCTGACTCAAACTGTTCCTGGAAACACGTGATAATAGAAATCTGCTTTCTTCCATCTCCAACAAGCTTAACTTGCTGCACTTGGTGACATCTTCCCTCCAGATGTGGCTGCTACCTTGACACGTCCATCCCCATTTCCACATGCCACCTTCTTGCCTTACCTGTTTGTCCAGGTTTGTATAAGTTCTTGTCTGTCTCTATCAGAATTACATTCTTCTGGGGCCTGACCAGAACTTTCTTCTGACCCTCAAAGAGTACACTGTCCCCGCTGTGGATCAGGACATGCAGAAAAGCCACCTCCTCTGGCTGTCAGGTTAAAAAAAAAAAAAAAAAACCAACTACCTGAGACTACAAAGAGCTTGAAGGAGAAACAGAGGCACCTGTCCTACCAAAATCTCCAACTTCCCCCTCCTCCCTTCCCCTCCTTTGATTTATCTCTCTCCTTTCCCAAGAAATAGTCTTCTCTGTGCTCCCCCGCTTCCTCATTCTCTTTTCTCTGTCTCTCTCCTTGTCATGTTTGCCTCTTTCCACATTTCTTTTTTCTCTTTACTACCTTTCCCACCCTGCATCAGAAGCATTATCATGGCTCAGACACAAGAGAGGCTGAAGCCTTCTAAGAGGAGAGGCAGCCAAAAGAGGGATCTTACCTGTGATGTGTAATCATTTCTTTCCGTGGGTACAAACTTGAACTCTGGCACCTAGATTGATTGGCACAAGGAAATGGAAAACAAATTCATCAGAGACTTTGCATCTTATCCTAGATATGAGACATGATCTCATTGTTAAAAAATCCCTGAAACTTCAGAGTTCAAATTCCACTGTATGACTTTGTCTGTAACCCATTTTTCATTACAGGGAGAAGAAGCAGTTGCTATCTGCCTCTTGTTCAGGAACCTAAGAGTTAACCAACTGGCATGTCATTCTGCCACTTCACATGTATGTGAGAGTTTTATGGAAACAAATAAAACCATAGGGAAGTCAGATCTGCAGTAATGGGAGATGAAATACTGATCAGAACAACACAGGACATCTCAGTATCAGAAAGACTGAGTTCACCAGCAGAAAGGTTTTTGGTTGTTTTTTTTTTTTTTTTTTAGCCAGCGGCAGACTTGCTTGGCTTTCCAGAACCGGGAGTTGCTCTCCCCTATGGGCTGGCACCAAACTCTTAGTTAATCACTGTCGTGTTGATGCAAAACCTAAAAGTGACTACAGCCCCTCCTTGAGTTCTGCTGAATCTGAAGAACAAGCAGGGCATAGGCACAGTGATTTTGTATAGTGCTGAGGAAGAGAGGAGCAGTTTGTAGAGCCTCAGCACCATCTCCATGGCTCTCCAGAAATGTAACTGAAGGTTCTGTAGTCACTGTGTCTAGTTAAGCTAACTACAGCAGCACAGTTGCAACGACAGGAACTCAAGCCACTCAAGAAATATCCAGACTGCACTAGGTGAAATTCAGTTCATTGTGGGTTCAGCACCATCACAGCTAAATTAAAGCAAGCTCAATGTCTGTGCAGACTGCAACTACATCTGGCAATACAGATGCAGCTTTAAAGCAGAACAGTCCTCTTGGAGCTGGAGGGGCAAGCTCCTGAGGAAATGAGGATGAAAAGAACCTAATCCCAATGCATTGACTTTCACTATGATATACACTCATCTTTAGGGACAAAATACTGAGTGAACTGAAACCAAATGTTTACCACCAGGCTTTAAGTGTGATGAAATGGGATGATACACATTGAAAGTACAGATTTTTTTCTACACAGCAAAGATTCCCTACTTTCCTAGACTTCAGGACACTGCTGTATTTTGCCTGACACTGGTAGTGAAATATACTTAATCTGCTTGCAACCTATGGGTAGAAAAAGGACAGTGTACCCAGAGAAGTGCTGTCCTGTTGTCTGAAGTGAGGGTGAAAGCATCGGTCAAATCAAGTAGCCACATGTACACTCACCTGGAAGGTGATGCACTGAAAGGTGCCTGGCTTCTCCACATCTTGTTGCACCAGTGTGTGATTCTGGGTTGTTGCCTGCAAGGTGACAGCCAGGTGGACGGTCTCAGTTAGGGAGCTGAAGTGAATATAGAGCTTCTCCTCTTGGGAATGGTGAATGACAGCAGGGAACACCACCATATAATGACTAGAAGAGAGCAGCACATGGTTAAAAACAATTCAGAGGCTGAAGTGGACAGGCCAGAATCAATCTCTGCTACTTTCATGAAGAGGTAGACCAAGGGTGAGAAATGTCTGGAGGACTGCAGTGAAGGAAATTTAGCACAGCTCCACTTCCAAACCAGAAAGGAAGAGTATGCCCAGTGTGGAATTAGAAAGCACCTGATATCTTTCTGCCATCACCTTGCCAACAACCAAGCCCCAACTACCCCAATTGCAGGTACACAGAGCAAGGCTGTGTGAGGAACGAAGCCGAAGACTCAGTGGCTGAGGCATTAAGCTTCAGTCCTTACACCAAATTTCACCCCTGCCAGCACAGGATGAACAGAGGCAAAGTTTCTGTGGCTTCTGTAGCTTTGTGGTGCGTGCAGTGCGGTGCCTGCACAAGCCAACACCAGGGGCTGCACCTGGAATGGTGCTGGACGCTCACTGCTCCAGCAGGACTCTGCAGGACCCGCTTCTGCCCAGCCTCTCTGAGAACAAGGCCCCCACCATTCAGCTCTGGGATGCTGAACAGTGCAGCACCTCAGCACCACCCTTTAATGACAGTCCCTTCCACCAAGCCCCCAAAATCAAAAGGAGATATCTCACGGTTCCAGGCTTGCTGCAGCTGCAACTGGGAGCAGGGTCAGGACTAAGAGGAGCAGTGGTGTTCCCATTGCTTGGGCTGGGACAGACAGCTGACAAGATCCGCACTGAAGGCGAGAACTGCCTGTGCTGATAGGTTGGGGCAATCCTAAATACCCCCCTCAGATGCTGCTAAGTCCAAAGAGTAGGGCAGTTGATATACAGAGATAGTATCTCTTCCAGGCTGATGACATTAGCTAATATTTACTTGCTCCCACCACCAGTAGAGTGAAGGTCACACAGCACAGTTCTCCACCCACATCTACATTCAGATGGTGTTCCAGGCCATGGGTGCCAGGGCACTGAGGGATATATATGGGGATATATGACCTCTAACTCAGGCTGAAGGGGACCTAGGAGAAAAATTCATCTTATCTATGGCTGGTCTGGATCCTGGCTGTAGAGCCAAATTTGCATACCAGCTACTATCTTCAGCTTGTAGAAAGCATCCTCAACTTCTAAAATGCATCCTCACTACTCTCTGGTCATCATTAGGGATCTTCTTCTCGTCCAATAATTACTCAAGGTTTGGAGTAAAAACTTTTCAAATCACCTCCATTCTGTTCACTGCCATCATTTCTGTCCACCCATCCATCCCAGCTGTGTCTGATCTTCCTGGGTATGAACCCTTTTCCAAGGTGGTTCCTGCCACCTACTGCCAACATCTCACATAGATCCACTGTAAGGTCTTTCCAAATTAGGCATGACACTTTAGGTCCACACATATTTTATCAAATCTCTACTATACATGCCCCCACGCTGGTTGTCCAGTTTTCAGGCAGTTTCCTTGAGCAGTAAAGTGATTCTACACTTATACCTCCACCTGTCTCCTCCAGACTCTTCTTTTGGGTGTATTTGCCCTCAAGTTACAACCTCATTTGAAGGTGGGTGTCCTCATTCTGCCATGGTCCCGTTTATGTTTTAGCAGAGCATAACCAAAGGTGCACAGTATAGAGTGAATTTGCCATCAAGCCCTGCCCAGCTCCCAGCTAAAGCAATCCCCTGGATTTACTTTGGCACAGTCTCCATGCATGTGCTTAGCACCCACCCTCTTAGTGCACAGTCCGATGTAACGGGGACACACCAGCCTTTAACCTAGCACTGACACTGCAGATAAACTTCAGGTTTAAAGCACTGTATGTCACTGATCTGGGAGCATATTTGATTATCTGAAATTAGCAGGGGTTTGAGTTGAAGTCTAAACTAGCAGGACAAAAAAAAAAAAAAATCTGAGTTCCGTCCGATTTAAGAAACACTCCACATGGCTCTGCATCTCTGAACAGTCATTAAACTGGCCATCTCTGAAGTTAAATGGGAACAAGTAGACAACAAAAAGATAATAACATGCTGAAGTTCTTTCCTTCTTCTGGGGAAGAATGGGGGCACTGACAGAGCTGTGTGTGCAGCCCTGGGCTGGGCTGGCTGGAGGCTGCAGGTCAGGAGTGAAATTTCAGTAAGAAGCAAATAATACATTAAAAAAGTTTGGCAGAAGAACAACCATGAAGCAAAATCCACTGACATCACAAAGAATTAATTTGTCCCCGGATGTTTCCAATGAAGTCCCAGTACCAAATACAGTAACTAAGTATTCCTGCTGCCATCAGCTGTGCTGCATAAGGCAGACAAGACAACTCCCACAGAAATATCAACAAGCCTTACAAAGTCTCTAAGCAAATTACTCTGATTTGTAGGCAACAAGCATTGTCTCCACCCCTTTCACCCGCCCACATCCTGGCCCCAGCCACGCGTAGCATGATTTCCATCTTCTTGGTTTTGAAGCCAAGAGAGAAACAGGAACCCTGTCAGGGCGGAAGCTGCATACTCCTTCAGCTCTGGATGAGGGGGAGAAGGAAAAAGGAATACAGCGGAAGCAGGAGTGAAGGAGGTGCTGAGGAGAGGCTAAGCTTTCCTAGGAAGAATTTGACTTGCAGTCAGCTATGTGGAGCATCGCTTTCCTGTGGGGCAGCATCCTTCTCCTGCCTATGGCGGCTGGAATGCCTGCAATGCTGTAAGAACCTCAGCTGCTTTGAATACACACTCTGGTCTGTGGGGGGTCCTGGGAGGGGGTGGGGGGGGGTGGCAGTATGACAGAAACAGGACAGAAGTCTTAAGGTGAGGAATGTTTTTCCAGAGAGGTATCATTTCTCAGGTTCCAAGGGTTTCACTTTGTTTTTGTGTGTCCTCTTCCCCACGCTCCCCTTAACACTTGGCTCTCTGCCTTTCATGTAGAGCATGTATTTCTGCAAAGACTCAGGCAGAGCAACTCTGCCAGCTTTCTGCAATTGTTTATGCCAATATCTCATGCCTCCTACTCTGTTCCAGAATATGTTTCCTTCTGGGCTAAGCTTTTCTCCCAAGAGTCATAGATCACCATTTAATACTTCAGGGATGCCCTTTGTAAAGCAGTGTGTTCATTCAGGCTCGGCAACCCATCTGCTCACACCAGGCCTTTTCTCAGACCTCTGTCAAGGATAATTCTCAGCACCGCTCCTTTTCATATACTCTGTCAGGAATGTAGCTTCTGTTCCAGCAGGTACTGCTGTGATATCCTGGCTTGTGAACTTGTGCTTGCTTTTGGAAGGCCTTTTGCTTTTACAACCCCGGCTCAGGTGCAAACAGAAGCCTGACTGTGCTTGAACAGTAGATATTACAGTGAAAAATAAGTCACTGGGTTGTAGCTGTGTTCCCTCCTGCTCTGTGTGGTGTGGCATGCACAAGTCTAGTTTTACAAAACATTTCCAGCAGGAGTATAGCATTTTCCTCTAGGACGTGTTCCATAGGCTGACACAGCTTCCACACAAATTATGTGCTTTAGTTACTGCTACCTGTTTGCCTTTGCTACCTTCAGCATGAAGTTTTGCTTTATGGAAATACCGCTTGTTTCAATAGTATCTCCACTGTCTCACCTGTATATTTTTGTAGATTCATAAGAATGGAATCCAGCCAGGATCTTGGAATCCCCTAATGACAGCCTCTGAGATGCTGTCTTGTACTTCTATAGCTCAGAAGGCAAGGGCAAGGGATGAATTGTCAAAGGGGTGTAAAAAAATGTTCCAGAGTAAAGGGTCATTAGGAGCTAGGGAAGTATGGGAAGTTCAAGTAGTGAGTCTTTAGTGTTCATAACATCCTTTGGCCCAAGTGGCAGGGGGAGGTGCCATGAGTCAGCTTAATTAGGAAAATCAAAATGTTGTTAGCATATGTTACCAGATCCCCAAATATTAGCAGCAGACAAGCTGTTCAAGGCAGCTTGGCAGCACTCAAGTATGAAAGCACTCAAGGCTTCTGGCCAGCAGGACTTTGACTCCCTCTTGCCAGGGTGCTGAGCTCCAGCTCAGAACTTCCATTAGGTCATCTCCCTGCCTCCTGCTCCTCTGATCTTTCCAGGCCCTGCCGTCCTTTTGCTGCAAAACATGCTGCTGGCTGAACCTGTCCAGAGTCAGTATGTGGGAGGAGTCAGTGATAAGATTTTTGAAACCTGCTTGAGTGTTGGCTTCTCCTTCGTTCAAGTTGCTGCAGTGCGATGAAAGATGAAAACAAACAAACAGTATGAACAGCTTCTTGGTATTTTCATGGTAGCCAAGCTCTGCTGCTGGTCCCTTGGGTGACATGGGGAGCTCCCTTCACCTTCTTTTCAGTTTCACTTTATCTTTTTATGGGCATGTAGCATATAGTGCAGACTCAGTATTAATGTGTGCAGTACCTATGATGGTGTCTCAATGGCACTGTGACAGCAGAATGAAGAAACCAGAAGTGCTTCCTAAGTACCTAAATCTTGTGGTCAAGACCTGTCCTCTTAGAAAATCAGTTTTACCTGCCTTTTTTTTTTTTCTTTCTTTCTTTTTTTAATAGAAACTATGCCGTGGCAATACCATCGCAGCTCTACTACCCCTTCTCAGAGACAGTGTGTCTCCAGCTCAGCAGAAAGCAAGAAGTCCCGATCCACGTGTCAGTAACCTTGCAAAGCAGAGCTGGGAATGAGACACTGATCACTCAGTCCATCTCTCAGCTCACCTTCTTTCACTGCACAAAGTTCCAGGTGAGTAATATATTTTTAAGGGTTGTCAGGAGGGTAGAGATTGCGCGAGTTCTGCTCCTGCTGGACAGAAAGACAAATTGTGTATTCCCATGATGATATCTTAATTGGCCAGTGAACCTTCTGCTTCAGCTGTACAGGTCTGCCAGTAAGTGTCCTTCCTGCTGTGTAGCTCTACTAATACTTTACTCTCCTAAAAAACATTTTGAAATGTTCTGTGGGGTCTTTCAGGGCGAGAAGAACTGGAGCTATACAAAAGTAATATCATAATCTTTATTCCAGAAACCTTGGGATCAGTGAATGGGGTCCACCCTGAATGATGGTTATAACTATACCTGCAGGTCCCTCCTCCTGTTGGAAATCCTGATGAAGTGGCTTTTGTTGTTATCACAGTCCTGGAAGCCAACTCAGAGTTTCAGAAGAAGCAAAAAGTCCTTATCAAGCACGCAGACAAGAAGACTTTTATCCAGACGGACAAACCTGTGTACAAACCTGGACAGATTGGTATGGACAGAATGCCGTGTCTTGTGAGAGAAAGAACAGTCCTTAGGACGCAAAATATGGGTTACCTTCTAGTGCTTGGAACAGGGCCTGCTCCTCAGGGGAAGTGGGTCACAGGCTTCACCTCCTTTCTTGGCTTTGAGGGATTTTAGAATACTTCTCTCCTATGTTAGTGTGGCATATGTTTTCTCCAGTACTAGCCATACACAGACAGCATGCCAGTGTGAATAGGGAGTGTGTGTGTTCACTGATGCGTGAGAAAAGGTTCAGATGCCAATGTGTTATATTGGTTATGATCGCTCCAGTGAAAGCCACGAAAGTCCGTCAGGCCCCTAAATCCCTCTCTTTCCCACAGACTTCCTCAGATGAGGATCACAGTACTACAGGCCCCACCACTGCCCTAGCACAGCAGATCAAGGCAGGGTACAGCTGTTTGCCCCCTGCCTCTCACCATTTCCAGTAGGATGAGCTTTGCTGCAGGCAAGGCTTAGAGGCCCACCACAGGTCCACTGTCTAGAAAAATGCTGTTTCTCACCAGCACAGCCATTCTTCCCAGAAAACCCCACACCGCATCTTCTAACACTTTTTTTCCTAGCAGCCTGCCAGCTCCTAGCAGAGCT